CTCTCTCTCTCTCTCTCTCTCTCTCTCTCTCTCTCTCTCTCTCTTCAGAAGGTAGAACAAAATGGGAAAGTCACTGGAGAAAGACGGGCAGAGAAAGAGAGAGGCAAGAGATATTCGGTGGTACCCAGCCTACAGGAGGCAAGATCGAATTTTAACGCGCGCAATACGCGCTCCCGTGAGTTGAAGTCGACGGTTTCAACTTTTACTTTCAGCTCTTACACAACGCGGCCCGCTCTTGCTGGTACGTAAGTGGCGAACGTGCAGCGAGTCCTGGTCTCAGTTTCGAGGCTTCTTCTCTTAATATCCTCTTCTTCTTCTTCTTTTTCTTCTTCTTGTCCTTCTTTCTCTTCTTCCTGTTATTTTTTTGTATTACCCCTTTACTTCCTTGTATTTGTTTTCCGCCAACAACCGGTCATAATCAAGATCAATGAACTTTTCAAGAACAAAATTCTCAGTAGAATGATGTATGTTATCTATTGTTTAAATTTCTTTTCTTCCTTTTATCTAAAAAATGATGATTACACGGTGAAGACGAATCACTTGTCACAGCAAGAGTTACATCTATTGTTTGCCGAATTAGTCACTACAACAATTGAAGTATTGATGATACATTAATGCACAATCGTGAAAATTTGCGTTTTGCAACGAGATCACTTGAGGTAATTATAGAAGATCCAATCGCGAATTGGTGCACTCCCGATAGAATATCCGTAAGTAGGAGGACTGATATGGTTACCACGTGTCCTCACAATGCGAACACGCGGCGAACAACGAAGAGGACACTTAACGACGTTGTCAGTTTTCCTCGTGATGGTCCGTATCGCACTCCCGCGCGCACAAGCGGTGACACTCTCGATTGGAGTCGACGTATGTTTTTCGCGCGTGTTCGCTGTCTCTCTCTTTCTCTCTCTCTCCCTCTCTCTCTCTTTGTCTATCTATCTTTCTCTCCCTCTCTTTCTTCTTGTTTTATCTTCTCTCCCTCTTTTATCCTCCCTCTCTCTCTCTCTCTTTTTCTTTCTCTTTCTTTCTTTACATCGGAGGACTTCTTCAGGGAGAGAGGGTTCTCTTCCGGTCTCCGCGATGTGTCTCACTGCTCCTCGCTCCGTCGTAACTTTTGCGCAAAGCCGGGACCCTCTCTCACTCTCTACCTCTCTCTTTCTCTCTCTCTCTCTCTCTCTCACTCTCCCGCTCTCACTCTCCCTCTCTCGCGCGCGCTCTCTCTTTCTCTGTCCTAGGTAAGCGCGAAGAGAGGTAGAGTTGGTTAGCAGGAGGTGGCGACGGTAGTGGTGGTTACTCATTCGTTGTAGTGGTGGTACATCAGCGATATTCTAACGTGTATCGAATAAGTACAACCACAACGGCGAGCAGCGGCGGTAGTGGTGGTCATGGTGACGACGATGGTGATAGCGCAGCAGTAGCTGTAATAGTGGCGGGTGGTAGTGGCAAAGAAGAGGCCAGGTGTGGGCCCCGTAAATTTACGAGACCCCAGAAAGGGTTGAGGGTCCGAAAAGCGCGTTTCTCTTTGCTCCCGACGTTATATTCTGCATCGAGGAAGAGGTTTTGCGAGTCCGTGAGTTTATTTGTAAAGCGATCATGGTATTGGCTCTATGTTGAGTGGCACCTTTCCTCTGCCTCTCTCTCTCTCTCCCTCCCTCCCTCTCTCCCCCTTTCTCTCTCTTGTTCGCACACCCTTGCTCCACCTCTTCTCTCTTCATCTCTCTACCTCTGTCTCTCTTTCTCTCTCTTTACGTATCTGTCTATCTCCCGTTCTCCCTTACTTGCTCTTTCTCCCCCACCAGGAGTCCTCCACCTACCACTACCTTCCTCTACTCTTCCTTTCCCCACTAGTGCTCTCACTATTGCATTACAAATAGCTCTCTTGCCTAGGTCTTATTGGTGAGATATAGCTCTTTCTCTCTCTTTCTCTCTCTCTCTCTCTCTCTCTCTCTTTCTCTCTCTCCTTTGTATAACATACGAGCGATTAAGCATGTGTATAGTTTTACATGTATGTTGCACGTCTTCGCTTATACACGCTGTGGTTTACATGTTCTGTCAGTGTACATGCACAAGGCGATAAGAGCACACTCTCCGGTCTCCGTCCGTTTTATTGGAGCACGATTCTCCCGTGCCGTCTTCCTGTCTCTCTCTTTCTTTCTCACCCCTATCCTTCTGTCCTGACTCGCCCCGTCTCCCTTTTACAATCTCGCTTTCTCGCTCCCTCCTCTACTCCCCTCTCTTTATCTTTCTCTCAATACTGCTCTAGCGTGTACGAGAAGACGCACACCAGTTCAAACTCTATGCACTGCTTTCCTATCCTTGTCATTCGGATGCAACAGAATAGAAGCACTCCTTGTCGTTGCAATGGTGTAATATAAGAGCGAGCATTCGCGCCTGCACGCGCGTAAAATACGTAAGAATGGAGCGAGTGCAGCAGTGATCTACTATTAGCTTCTTCCTAGTTCCTTTAGTCGTTCCTGTGCCCTTCACAACCTGCTAACATTCTCCTTCCTTCCGTTGTATCCATTTGTCTTCTCTTTCACATATTTCTCCCCCTCTTCATTTCTGCACTTGCGATTTCTACTCCGCCCTCTCTCGTTTCTTCCGTTTTGCTTCGCTTCCAGACATTTTGTCTTTTCTCTAGTTCATCATTGGTGAAGTGTCCATTCTTACTCCGCCCTCTATCCTTCCATCTTTTCCATCTTTTTTTTCTTCTTTTTCCTTCCACTTTGGTAAAGTATTGCTCCTCCTACGCCATTATATTACTTTGACGTTTTAAACGTCGTTCTCAATATTAGTTGATTGATCT